AAATAAGAGACTTAATGACACTTTTGATGCACAATCATCCATATAAGAAGATAGTTTAATAAATATAATAACTTTGATTTTATATCGCAAAAACTCTCATTAATATATTTTATCCAAATTACAACTAGATAAAAAAATGAAATAATATACATTATTCCAGTTTATTTTTTTATTACTAAAAACCATATAATTGTGAGCAATCCAAACATGCTAAATTATACAAAAAAAGAATGAGCGCCAAATATATTTTTTTTGGCATAGATCCCTAAACTATATCATTTCAAAATATAAAAATTATCTAAAAATTATTTAAGCAAGATCAACATTTGACACAACCAATGCACAAATTTAGATTGCAGCTTCTATACTATCTCATAATAAATTCGAATATGTTATGTGTTACCATTTCAATTAACTTTTGACAAAAAGAACAATTTAAATTGTTATTCCATAACATACTCGGCAAAAAGATTGATGTCTTCTCCCAAGTGTAGGAGTGTCGAAGTAATAAATAACCCGGCAAGACCGGGGTCGAACCACAGGGAGGTTAATTGTACAAATTATAAACAACAATTATAAAACAACAATAACAACAACAACAATAGTAATAATAATAATAATAATAATAATAATAATAATAATAATAAAGAAAGAGAAGAAGAAGATGATGATGATGATGAGAACTTGGAGATCAAATATTAATGTAAGGATTAAGCAATAATAATAACAAATGTCAAGGTTAGAGGTTCCACTAATGGTATATCAAACAAGTATAGTATAAACTCTTATTATTGAATTGGAAACCACACACAAAGGAGGTTCCAATCAGATTATATATTGTTAACATGATTACATTAGTCATCTTATTTAATTAATGATAATACTTGTAAATCTCGTCAAGCATTCATGATTATAACTTATGTTAACAACAAATCAAGTTCCTTTCATAGCTCAGGTGTCGGTTATACCATACATTATGGGCTATGAAAGTGCCAAGCATTTGTTGTACCAAGTGTTATACAACATAAATCAAGATTAGTCATTTAACAAGCAAAGTATTAAAGAGTGAACAAGATAACAAATACAAAACATGTTAGTATAAAACATTAAAGTCCATATTAAGTTTACACTATACTTATTCTCACACCATTAGTGTAACCTTTTTACCTTGACATAATTAACTTAGCTAGACATAATGAAAGAAAGAAAAATAGATAAACAAAATAAGAACATAAAAGTTAACTAAGTAAAGAAAAGGAAATGAAAGGCATAAACTTAATATTAATGAAAGCAAAGCATAAACATTACAAAGAATACAAAGAGAGAAAGGAAGAGCATGATCTTGATCTGGACACCAAGATGCCTAAATGCATGGCAAATGCCTCCTTTTATAGGCCAAAATTGGGAACTATTGATTTGATGACTAATTGATAAGTGGGTGGCCAACTTTTGACTTGGTGACAATCCTTATCTTCTCTTGTCTGCTCAAAACGTCATTGATAACGTCAAAAAGGGAGCCAGTTGCAAACATGAAAGTTGTAGGCAATTGTCTCATCTTTCTTGTGTAAAAAATTCAGCTCATTTGGACTTCTAGAACTCCAGATATGGCCAAAATACCGAACAGTGATCGAGCTGGAAGACAGATTCGGGCTTCTTTGTTGTTGCTACAATTTGGACTTGATAATGGCCTTTTTAGATCTTGGGCTCCATATTAAAGTTGTAGGCCTATGTCTTACCTTTCCATCCATATAAATTGGACCTAAATCTGAGATATATAGCTCTAGATATGACCCAATTACCGAACAGTGTTCCGGTTTGGATTGCACCGACATCTCTTTTCTAAGTTTGGCCATCTCTTTATCCTTGCAATTTAAGTTCTTCAAGTCATCAATCAATCCTTTCATTTATGTGATAGGCCTGCATTAAAAATAGACATTTACCACAAATTATAGGTATCTTATATTATTAGATATATTATTATAAAACATGCTTTGGTTAAGGAGTTATTGATACTTCAAGTGCAAAATGATGATATAAAACCATGATAAAAATGCACTTTTAAGTACTAATCACACCCCCCAACCAGCTTATTACTAGTCCCTACCCCCAACCAGCAAATTCCACAAAGCAAGGTATTCATCATTTAACTTCCATTAATCTATCCAGATAAACAAACTCTCATTAAATTTATATATCTGCTCAATACCACTTAACAAGATATTAATAAACCTTTCTTTTGTGCTCAATGTATCAACACATAATTATGGGGCTTTTCTTGGAAGAAAACAAAATTTTTGTTCTAATGTTTAAGGTTAACTTCCTTGGGTTGGGATTACTATTTTTGTCTTTTTTTTTTTTTTAACTCTATATACATATACTTTAAAAACATCATGCATCTTTAACCCATGTAACGAGCTTTCAGCTAATGACTCCCAGACCAGTTGGTCTTAGGGCATTAGGTGTTAAGACACCCCTACGAGCTTAGTAACTCAGGTCGCAGATACTGATATGTAGATAGTGCAATGTTTGATTCCCTTAAGCTTTTCTCCTCAACCCATGTAACAAGCGTTGGGCCAATAGCTCCCAAGTCAGTTGACTTTAGGGTATTAGGTGTTAAAACACCCCTTCGGGCTTAATTGCTTAGGTTAGGGAGGCTACGAAATCAAACTTATCTACATTTTTATTATCATCATTTTTTTTTCTTTTTTTTTCTTTTTTTTTTATTTATATACAATCCCTTTCCCTTAGTTGTTACCTTTAACAAAAGAACATAAATAATGTAATAATCCAATATGCAACCCACAATCATATGTTAAAGTGTGTGTGTGTAAATTAAGGTTTAAAAATACATGTTAAATAAGTATGTGAGCAGAATTAAGTGATAACAATGCGAGAGTTTGTAAATCTGAATATTTCAGGAAGTATTATAATAGACCTTGTTAAGAATGGTTACTAAGATGCGTCTCAAGAGTCACTTTAACAAAAGAGCTCCTTTACTCTACCATCCTAATAGCAACAATTATGCACATGCTTTATGAAATGAATTTTTTTTTTTTATCAACTACTACCCTCTCCCCCCAACCAAAACGAGACATTGTCCTCAATGTTCTAAGGTAGAAAGATAGAATATAGAAGATATCACCTGAAATAACGAACACTGACAAAACCTGAAACACACTAAAACAAAAATAAGAAATAAAAAAACATAATAATAAAACCAGAAAACACAAGTTTTTACAAACAAAAAAAAATTCAAATCGCAGTTGTGAATGTGGCTCACATCTTCCCTTGGTTTTACGTCCAAGAACAGCTTAAACGCCTTCAATGGGTCGGGGATAGGCTTCCCATCCAATTTTCTTAAAAACTGGCAAACAGGGTCTTTTTTAGTCAGATTCCCAAAACTAAGTCAAGTATGTTCTTTATGAAAATGGGTTCATAAGTTATGAATTGCACGATGCTTATCTTGACTATGATGAGACTTAAGAGTCAATAGAAGATTATCTAAAGACTCTCTGTGTTTTGAAATAAATCCCACCTTTTGATAATTTTCACAGTTTTTGCAAAATGTATGTGACTCCTTGAATATGGTTGGCCAGGAAAATCCACTTTGTAAGATTTCTACAATCCTCTTTTTTGATGAAAAATGATCCCCACATGCCTTAGAGTAACAAAATTTAATGAAATTACTTACCTCATTGTCGAGAATGCATTTTTGAAATATTTGATCAGGACAATAATTGAATAAGTAAGGGTCATCCCAATAAAAAATTTTCACTTCGTTCAAAAACTTTTCTTTGTCTTGGGTACTCCAATCAGCTGGCAAATCTCCTAAAGTAAGAAAATTGATATTTTTATCATACCAAGGCATTGGACTAAGAGAAAGTAAGGATTCGTTAGGAAAGTAATCATCCTTTGGTGTGATGTTAGATGTCGAATTTGTTGTCACTGTTGACAAAAGATTCGCATCAACATTTTTGGTGCTTGTTTCATCCGTGATTTCTTCCTCAGAATAAATCATTTGCAAATCTTCAGTTTCATCCAATTCATTTTTACTTAAAGTAGATTCAAGTTGATCATAAACTAATTCGTCAATATGATCTACTTCTTGTAAATCATTATCATCTCCAGGTTGCTTGCAAATATTGAAAATATTCATCTCCAATGTCATGTTTCCAAATGATAGCTTCATTAGTCCATTCCTACAATTAATCAATGCGTTAGAAGTTGCAAGAAATGAACGTCCTAAAATAACAGGAAATGAATGACATGCTTCAACAGGTTCTGTGTCCAAGACAATAAAATCCACAGGATATATGAATTTATCGACTTGTACTAACACATCTTCAATTATTCCTCTAGGCACTTTTACAGATCTATCGGCAAGTAAAAGAGATATAGAAGTTAGTTTTAACTCACCTAGATTGAGACTCTAAAAAAGTGAATATGGAAGTAAATTCACATTAGCACCAAGATCAAGTAAGGCTCTTTCAATTTTATGCTCTCCAATAAAGTAAGAAATTGTAGGACAACCAGGGTCTTTATATTTCAAAGCATTATTGTTCTGAAGAATAGCACTTACTTGTTCGGCTAGAAAGGCTTTTCTTTTTCACATTCAGTTTCCTCTTCACAGTGCATAGATCTTTTAAAAATTTAGCATAGGAAGGAACCTGTTTAATAGCATCCAACAATGGTATATTGATCCTTACCTGTTTGAAAATTTCAAAAATTTCAGAGTTATGATTAACTTTCCTTTGTTTGGTCATGGCTTGAGGAAATGGAAGTGCTGGCGGTGAATCAGTCGTTTCTTTGCAATTTTCAGATTCATCCCCTTCCTTACCCTCAGAGATTGATTCATCATCTTTCTCATAAGGTTCAAGAGAGGGTTTTTCAATAACCTTACCACTGCGTAGAGTAGTGACTGATTTGACTTGATCCATGTGTTGGCTTCTGGAACTACTTGTATTTGCATTGTATTGCCCCTTAGGATTTTGTTGTGGTTGAGATGGTCTTCTCCTTGCTATGTAACCTCTGATCCAAGGGGTAACATCCTCGCTGATCTTGATCATGATAAAGAAGATGACGCGGTAGATGACAATCATACTGAAAATGACACTGAGATCTACCCATTTTGACCGGTGCACATCAATCTGGAATATGTTTTCCAGTATGTACTCACCAGGTATCTTGGGAAGATCAGGTGATTGGTTGTCGAACAGCAATCCTTTCAGATCATTTTGGTATTGTCCCTGAAAGGCATACATAGACATGCCTCTTTAATTGCTTTCAGCAACGTACAGATGTAAGGATGTTATCGATAAATGAACGAATGTATGAATGCAGGTTCACTATTACCTGTAGAGCCCAGAAGTGGAAGCTAATGTATGACATTGGGTATCTCCACACAGGCTTTGGTATGTCATTTGGGAGCCTAAAGTATCCAGATACTAGCATGAATATTCCCTGACAATGACATGAAGAAAACATGCAGTTAGTGTTTGTAATTTTATATAAATATTAACAGAAGAATATATATATATATATATATATATAGAGAGAGAGAGAGAGAGAGAGAGAAACCTGAATTCCTGCCCCAATGATAATGCCCATTAGGAAATTGGGGACAATGCTGGCTATGGCCATCATCAAGCTTTCAACTACGGTGACACTCGCAAAAAGGCACAGCACGAAGAAAAGATAATGTTCAAATCCTGGATGAAGGCGAACCATGAAATAACAAACAGTTCCAGAGATAAAAGTTATCATTATGAGGAACGGCATTGCAGAAATGGTGTTGCTAATCACAAATGCGATCACGCCATAGTGCCCATTTAGCCTCTCTCTCTGGAAGACCTGCGAAAAGAAAAATAATTAAACCAGCAAGCGCCATGATTATTAATTAGCAGTTTTGATAAGGCAAGTGTACGTAACTTGTGAGCAATAGTAAAAAATAAAATAAAATAAAACGTAATTAATTACCTTCATCTCTTCTACAAAGGAAGGAAACCCACCAATTGACATGAACGTGACAAAACCAAAGACAAACGAGGCACATGACCCTCTTGCCTGTTCCGGATTAATCCAGAGAAACAAATATTTTTAGTTAGAAGATACTCCTCGTAAATATTAACTAACTAAGCTTAGGAGCAGAGGATTGATACATTTCATTAACAGTACCAGTATAGAATTGTAACCCGTCCCCACGTTGAGATAGATAGTTCCAATGCAGACAGTGACCACAATATAAATCACCAGTCGAAGCCAGTAATACCCAAAATCCCTTGACATGTTAATGATAGAACGCTTTGTCAGAGTAAAGGCCTGCATCAAAAAACTAGCCCGGCTTCCTCCTGATTCGAGCACATCTCCTTTCTGCGACAGCAACATCAATTAGCTAGTAATTTTGAATCCTATTTAATTGGTACACAAAAGAGAAAAATGAGTTTATGGCAATAAGCTGCTACTGTATGAGAATTACAAGGCTTTGCTAAAATTAAATCAGTGAAAATGTTGATCAGATTGCAAACTGGAGGAGCACCTCGAAATTAAGACACTTACAACTTTGGATATCTCCTCAACCTTTTCTCTTGCTGCATAGCAGTACTGAGAAGTACGATAGTAACCAATCAGAGATCTGATAGCTTCAGCCGTGGTTATCTTCTCTATAGGATCATCACTTGCCTCAAACTGAGCAGAAACACAAGTTAGTTAATTAAGAGAATTAATTATCAATCAGGCCTAAAGCAACAAATCTATGGAAATTTAGAGAGAAAAAATGGGCAAGAATAGATCCAACGAAGGCAATCCAATCAGTTCTTTCATCGAGAGATGCAAATCAATATTGCGTGATCTCCTTTAAAATAAAACTAGCCTGTAAATTCCTGAAGTTGCTAGTACAAGTCAACTCATTTTTCAATAAAAACAGAAAAAAAAATAGAAAATTAATAATTAAATAAGAACAAATGCTATACCCGCAGTTTCATGGACCCTTTCAGAGTAGCCTTCACTTTGTCGAAGTCAGAATTGATGCACCTAAGGAAATGATCAGAAGGGTTTCTCAAAGCAGGGCAGGGAAAGCCAGCTTGTGCAAAGAACTGTACGTAATGAAGGGTGCTCATTCAGTGTTTGAGTTAAATGATCATGTAGATTATATATATATAAAGAAGCGAGGATTCTTGCCTCGTATGCTTCTGCAGCCTGACCGAAGTAAACAGTTTTGCCTCCTGAAAGCAAGTACAATCTATCAAAAAGCTCAAAAACTTCGCTGCTAGGCTGGTGTATTGAAGCAATGATAGTTCTTCCATCTCTAGATAAGCCGCGAAGGGTCTGAGTTACAAAGAAAGCTGAAGCACTGCCACACACACGCACATACACACACATAATTCCGTGCATGCACACACACACACATATATAAAAATTGTTAGAGTCTGGTGAAGGAATTGAAAGGGGGGAAAACAATTTATCTCATCAAAAAGAAAGGAAAAATGTTAGGAAACAGAATAGAATTATATATACGTACCTGTCAAGTCCACTAGTTGGTTCATCAAGAAAGAGCAGTCTGGGCCTCATCAGGATTTCAAGAGCAATGCTGACCCTTCTCTTCTCTCCCCCACTGATCCCACGCAAATGCCAATTCCCAATAACAGTATCGGCACAATCTTGGAGACCCATCTCTAATATGGTACTCTCAACCAAGGCACGCTTCTCGGACCAAGGCATCTTATCAGGAAGACGTAGCCGAGCTGAAAAGGAGATTGTTTCCCTCACCGTCAAAGTACCGAGCAAGTTGTCATCTTGTGTCACATACGCCTAATTAATTAAGTTCAAAACGGTTTTATAACTAATTTATTAAGTAATTTCTCTCTTGGAATAAATAATGATATTGCTTAAAATTAATATTGTATAAAAGGTAGTTTAGAAAAGCAGAGTGTGTATATATATATATATATATAAGTATGGAGTAATAAACAGAGAAATGAAACTAGTAGAGAAACAGCTTGTATACTCACAGCAGTCCCAAAAGAAAGCTTGGTTTTGCGACCATTGAGGAGGACCGTTCCAGAGAGGAAGGCATTAGCAGCAAGGCGACTGGAGAGAGCATCAAGGAGAGTGGATTTGCCAGAGCCAGAAGGACCCATAAGTGCAGTGAGAGTTCCAGGCTCAGCATAGCCTGTAAGTCCCTCCAAAACATTTTGTGTTTCTCCACTACCGAGGGTAACCATCACAGTCAGATCCTTCGATGTAAGCCTTGCCGACACATCTCCTACGAATTCTGTGCTCGTTCTGTCTCTCCAAAGGGTCTCGCTCAGAGGACTCAAACCTCCTACCACAGTTCCATCCACCGCTATTCCCTCTACAATCCCTGATGGTATGCTTGCCTCTATCTCCATTATTACTTTATTCGTTGATGGGTTCCTCGCCATCCTTTAGATATTATTATAGCTTGTATTGATCAAGAGAGAGAGATCAAATGCAGAGAGGATCGAACCAAGGCAAATTAGGATGCAGCTGGAGGCAAGAAAGATGTGATGAGAATATATAAATGTATGGGGGTCATAAACAAACCAAAGGTAGAGTCGTGAGGTATATATTGTATGAATTTGACCGGTTGAGGTAGGAATAACTAAAGCAGGTTAAAATCACGAAGTCTCGTGCAAAGAGAGCCTCGACTGATCAACAACTTCGTTAATTTTGCTTAGTAGTCTTTGTTGTGCTCCAAAATCTGACAGCAGGCTGCAACACAATTTTTTTTTCTCTAGCACTCCACATATAAATGTCATGTTTGAGATTCAGCAAGCTGGTTGGCTTCGAGAATCAATTAGATTAAGAAATGATCTCAATCATAACCGAAGGAGTAAGTTGATGCATGGAATTAGGTAGAATAGTGGTGTAAGAAATACTCCTATGGCTCTGATGGGCGGTTTTGCTAGAAGAGGCAATAATGAGAAGAGAAGATTGGATTCATAAAAAAAAAAAGATAAAGAAAGAAGATGATGAGCAGAGTGAGGGAGTTAACAGATATTGGATGCACCAACAAGATTACCATTTTTTCCCATTATTATCCAATAAATGTTTTCTGGTAGGTGTTGGCAACGGCATTTAATTCAAGACCCACCCACAATGAAAACCCAACTGTTCGTTGACATCTTCTACACAGCGACATGATATTATTGACTCGTTGGAAACCAAACCTAAGTATACGTACGTGCCTCGTCATCTATCCATACATGTATATATATATTTTTAAAATATTTTTTATTTAAAAATATATTAAAATAATTTTTTTATTTTAAAAAAATTATTTTTGACACCAATATATTAAAATAATCTAATAATTATTATCAAATGGATTTTATGGTTCAACATGGATCAATAATTAGTACTTAAAAGTGTATTTTTATCAAGGTTTTATATCATCATTTTACACTTAAAGTATTAATAACTCCTTAACTAAAGCATGTTTTATAATAATATATCTAATAATATAAGATACCTTTAATTTGTGGTAAATGTTCATTTTAAATACAGGCCTATCACATAAATGAAAGGATTGACTGATGACTTTAAGAACTTAAATTGCAAGGGCAAAAA